CCGTGAGACCACATTTTTACACGTAACATTCACAGCAAAAACACTGTGAAGGTTTAAAAAAAGTCGAACCTTCATAGCAAAAACACTATGAAGGTTTTAAAAAGTCACATTCACAGCATTTTCCTGTGAAGTTTCAAGTGTAAAATATTGATCTCACGGGTCTCACGAAAACAGGCTGGTCTCACATGATCTCAAGTCTCTCTCTCTATATATATATATATATATTACAAAACTTTTGACAAAAACTCTTAAAAACCATCATTTATATATGAAGTACTGCTTATTAATGTATATTAGTTAAAATTCAAGATTGCAAGTAAGTATTATATAAGTACAACTTATTAAGCTTCATATTTGAATTTGTATAACTAACTTTCTCATTTAAAATATAATTAAGATAATTATTGAGTTCTAACAAATACTTAGTTATTATCTTTATAAAAATTATATTATGAAACCAAAAACAAATTCATTCGTCATTAAACCTAAATTAAATTATAATAAAAAAATTAAATTAAAGAAATTACATAAAAAATGAGAACTTATATATATATATATTTTAATTTTTATGATATCTTCAAATTTATATTAAAAAAAATTATTGTTTGCTCAAAACCACATAAATCCATATTATAATATCGACAGAGACCAGAAAAACATATATAGACTTGGGATCACGTGAGACCGGTCTATTTTCGTGAGAGTGAGACCACTTTTTTACACTTGAAACTTCACAACAAAACACTGTGAAGGTAACCTTAACAACGTTTTTGTTGTGAAGATTCGGCTTTTTTTTTACCTTCACAACATTTTGCTATAAAATTTCAAGTGTAAAAAAGTAGTTTAACGAGTCTCACGAAAACAGGCCAGTCTCACGTGAACCCAACCCCTTCTCTCTCTCTCTCTATTATATATATATATATATATACACACACACTATATTATAAAGCATTTGACAAAAACTCTTAAAAATCACTTTTTATGTGTAAAGTACTGTTTATTGATGCATATTACTTAAAACTCAAGATT